TATAAGTTGCATCAACGATTTAACAGACTTTAATTGCAGTGTTCTTAATCTTTATAAGTTAGTAGTACTGTTCGGGTTTACAGTGTGGGGGCGTGTTAGAACGAGCCGTTTTAGGTAGGCGTGGCTGACTCTTAACTTTTATAAAGAATATCTCTTTGGATTTGAGACTTTAGTCTTTGCAACTTTACAGATCTTCTTTATGCACCAAGAGCTTGTAACACTCCAAAGAGAAAGGAAAACTTGAAATCGCATCATATGACCCCTTTAACTGTTAGTTGCCAAAACAACATTTCTAATTTTCGTTGAAGTTCAAGTTTCGCATTTAATATTTATAGTTTTGGTTTCAGCTTTATTACAATTTTTTAAAAAATTGTCTGTCTTCCGCAATACAGGATCCATAAGCAGGAAATCGAATCTGATTTCCAAAAGGACGTTAGTAAAGTCCAGGTGGCAAAGCAGAATGCTAGTAAACAGCCAGATCTGGAAGAACAGATGAGGGATTTTCTGCAGGTGAGGCCTCAAGACCTATTTAGTTTATCGCTGAATATGCAAGTTCTTTTTGTCTAAAATCTCTAGGTATGGTAACACACTATTGAGTCTTTTGACTGTTGATGTGCTGACACGTCGACATCAGAACATTTCCCTGACTGCATGAAATGTTTTTGTTAAATAAGAAGTCAGAAGAGTTTCTACAATTGATCTTTTCTTTGTTCTTTTTTAGAATGCAGACACCAGGTTAACGGAGACTGAGGCAGCGTTCAAAAACCTTTCTGCTGTGTGTGATTCGGTGGCGGAGTATTTCTGTGAGGATCCCACTCAGTTCAAACTAGAGGAGTGTTGCTCCATTTTCTACTCTTTCTGTGAGAAGTTCAAACGAGCAGTTCAGGTAATTGCACCTTCTAAAGAAGCATTTTTTACAACTAAAGAAATCAATAGTACTTTTGACAAAAATGTTTGAAATGATGTGCATATACGACAGTTTAAACCTGGAAAGGTTTTAGGATTTTGAAAATTTTCAATAAGTTTTTCCATAAAATTAAAAGCAAATGCAATATACACTACACTAATTTTGGGGTCAGTAAGATTTTTATTAAGAAAGTTATTATTTAGAAATTAATACTTTTATTCAGCAAGGACACATTAAATTGATCAAAAGTGACAGTAAAGACTTTATTAATGTTAATGTTAAAATGAATTTTTTCACAGTTTGCACAAAAATATTAAGCAGCACAACATTTTCCACATTGATAATAATAATGAGAAATGTTTCTTGATCACCGAATCAGCATATTAATAAAAACCTAAAAATTGTTAAATTGTAATAATTTTTCATATTACTGTCTTACTCTATTTTAGATCAAATAAATGCAGTCTTGGTGAGCATAAAAGAGACTTCTTTCAAAAACATAAAAATCTTACAGACCCCAAACTTTTAAACAGTAGTGTAGCTTTTGTATGACGCTGCATACAAAAGAATATCTGTGCATATGTGCACCTGTAACGTCTTTACATTAGGTAATAATAAATAGTAAATATTTATATTAAATATTTGAATAATACATGTTTTTTGTTATTTATATTTTAGATTACTTTTATGTTTTTTGTTTAGATTATTATTATTTTTTTTTTATTGTTTAGATATTGTCACTTAAAAAAAATATTTCATGTTTTTAGTAATGGCTTCCACAGACGTAATGATACGGTATGCCTGTGTCATTTCTCTTCTCCATATAGGAGAATCTTGAACGAGAAATGGTCGAGGTGAAGCGCAGACAGCGAGAGCGTACTCAGATTGCAGCCAAGCGTCGTTCTACCGCCACCTGCTCCTCACGAGACAAAGACGTGGAAGGAGTTGCACTGGAGTCCATCCTACAGAGGTTTAACAGTCGCCAATCCCACCGTAGAGCCGGCACCGGTTCACCCACACGGGGAAATCTTACTGAGACCACCACGCCGGAGAAACGCCCCGCTGACAACAGAGAGGTCAAGAGAGACAGCTGGATCAAAAGGGCCATGCAATCCCCCTTGATCAAGGAGAGCACTGATAAGGATGAGACGCCCAAGCACCCAGAGATTACAATCTCAAACCCTGTGCAGGAAAGTGCCGATTCCTCAATCAATCAACGTGCCTCTGTATTCACGGTGGAGGAGGAGGAAGATGTCCAGATAGAGAAAGAGGTGCAAAATATGAGAGAGGTGTCACGGAAAGTTTTACAATACCAGTCCAGTCGAAGTAGCATTTCATCTGGTGAGACCCTGTCACCGATCCTGTCTCCCAGGCAGACGTTCTTCCAGGAAGACAGAAGACAGCTGCTGATCGTGACCATAGAAGAAAACACCTCTAAATCCAGCTCTCTGCTGCAGAACGGCCAGATCATCAATCGCCGGCACACAATCGCACTTCTCGAGGCCAGTTGTGAAACTACCAGCCAAGAGGATCTATTCGTGCCTAGTAATCTAAACTCATCTCCGGCTCCCTCTGTAGGTGTTATTGGAAAAGGGAAATCTGTGGAATGCGGTATGATTGCCACATTACAAAACTCTACAGAGACTGTTAAAGATTCAGACACCAAGCCACTTAATTCTCAAAAGGAATCACAATCTGTTGACTCATCACAATCACAATCAGCAGAGCCAGAGGTGAAGACAGAAGAGACAGAGCCTAGCTTGAAGTTTAGTACTGGGAAGAGAAATAGCCAAACAATATCATTTAAAAGCACTAAAGAGGGTTTCAGCTTTATGTCTTTATTTAAGCGTTGGCGTGAAAAAGACAAATCAAATGAGCTTGATTCTGACAGTGTGGACCCATGATCTTAAAACAAAAACATGTTTTCTGTTTATTCAGGCATTTATGCTGCGTTTATGGAAAACAAGCTTGGTGCTTTGTCACTGTTTGCTTGTTAAAACAGTGAATGGACATTTATTTCCATGTCTACTATAAAAGGAGAAAAAAATAATGCACATGCAATTACACAGCATCCTAAAAACATAATGAATTCAAAAATCTTGTTGAGATCAGTTGAAAACGAGACATTTTACCTGCAGTGCTCTTTATTCAACACAAGGGGACAGTACACGACATTTTTCCATGATGATATAGCTTCTGTATCTGCAAAAATGAACCAAGACTCAAGAGTAATTATCCTCAGTTTAGATGATATACTGACCAATCAAAATAGCTGGTAAACCTGGTTGTTATTCACCACATAAAACCACAAATTGTAACAAAAATATTTTTTCTTTGAAAATAAGTGTACTCTTTGAGTACACAGTCAGAGTGTATTGTCTGATGAATAATTTAAAGTTTTATTATTAGTAGTAGTTTTATTCTATTGACCTAGCTTAGCTCATACCACATCATGTTTCTGAAAATTGTCTCTGAATGGTCATTGCAGTCTGAAATTCTCCTTCTTTTGACAGACCAGTCCACAGATCAAAGCACTCGCCTATACATGATGAAATAGAGAGTTTCATGTAGTTTGTGGTTTTCAATGCTCTAAAAATGAAAGAAAGTATTTTATTTGAGTCATTGCTGGTAAAACCTCTGCATTTGATTTTCAATATAAGATTTCAAAAAAATTTAGAGACCATGTTCCAGTTAGGAGTCAATCATACACTAAGATGCTTAAGTGCATTTTTACATGGGTTTTATTTTCCCTGTTTTTAGGCCAGCTATATTTGTTTGTGTGTTTGTGTGTGTGTGTGTGTGTGTGTTTGTGTGTGTGTGTGTGTTATGTAGATGTGACCACAACAAGATGCTTGTTGATGCAGTTATTCATGGTCGTAAATGTTTTTGTCTGCTGAGCTTACTAATGAGAAGCCTTGATAAAGACATTGAGGCTTAGTTAGGGAGAATAGATAATGTCATAGGGTCCCCATAGGTCTGCATTAGGTGGTCTAAAAGTGTCTTCTAGACAGCCTGAGACTCTGTGGGGGTGGAGTTTTGGGGGAGGGGGTGTTTGGCTGATGATGATTGGTGTGAGTGAATCATCATCAGTCTCAAAGAACTGAGAATAAAGGGTCAAGCGCTGATTGAATGTCACAACTTGCTATGGTTATAGTCCAGTTGATCCTGAAAATGGCTCTTTGAAATGTGTAGGACAGGTTTGGTGGCTTTAAAAAAAATATGTATGATTTCATGCTGTTACAGTACATTTCTAAATGCTGTTTATTTCAGATGCTTGAATTGTTTAGAGATTTCTTTTTAATTTCTTTAAATGCATATGAATAAACCATTTGTAAATTTAATAACAGAAATGTTGGAATGATAGGTCTTTATTTCAATACAAAAACACAAAATTATTAAATTATTATTATAAAAAACAGAATTTTGATTAACCAAAATGTAATAGTATAGTATAAATACAAATATAAATATGTTAAATATGACATTATTTCATTTGTTTAATTATTATTATTATATAAAACAAAATTAGCATTACCAGTATTTATTATATTGGTTGGAATTATAATAGAAAATAGAAAATAAATAATATTCTCATTTTCATCACTCAGTTGCAGTTTGTCGATGTGAATAATAGATGTTAAATATTTCATTTTTTTAAGTTACTATTATTATAAAACAAATGTATTTTACATCATATTTAATATAAAGTATAATATAAAAAATCAGCTGACATTATTTTTTTTATTTTTTATTTTGTTTTTGGTAGAGCACACCATATAATGCACATGATAAGCAAATGTGTAATAATGTTCAGTCTATGTCTTAATGTACCATCTGCTGACGTGGCTCGGGAGACAGTCTGCCTCTGCCATCTGGCTGCCTTAGGCTGGATGCAGTCTCCATAGCAACCACCACCTTCATAATGAAAGCCCAAGACTTCAGTCTTACATCCCCCACCCATCTGTAAACAAAGCCCAGCCCTTGGACTGCAGCCTCATAAGCCCACCCACATAGCCTTACTTTCACTTATATCATCTACGGCCATATATATATATATATACACACATTGTTGCCAGAATTGGGTTTAAGAAAAATCTTGCCATCTTGAAACGTCTTTCTAGGGTGTGTCCTACGATGTCTCCTGCCCTTTGGAATTAATTAGTTTTGTAATATGATTGCAATTCTCTTGCAGTTTTTATTTTTGTTTTCTTTTTTCACCAATACATTTGTAGATAAAGACTGAAATTCAACCAGTCAGAAGATGCAGCTATTCAGGAATCTCTTTTCCTCAATAGCTGTTACAGTGCATCACAGTGGCCTTTCGTTCGTGGACGAATCGCTGTTTTTTAATGACTCTTTCCAGTGAACGAAACGAGTCATTTTTTTTAATGAGTCAAGTCGCTCCATTTAAAGCGCGTGACTTACTTTTCTATGTCTTGTCTTTTTAAAGCTTGATAAAAGTGAAGCCCAGCAATTAGAGAACTATATATATATATATATAGTATATACACCTTTATTTGACCCTCTAACACTTTCTATTCTATTTTAATTCTACTTTATCTATATTTATCTTCTTTTTTTATTTTTTATAAAAAACAAACAAACAAAAAAACTAGCTTTTCAGATATACATTTTAAATAATTACATATTCCAAAATACTAACTCTTATTGGCTATCGTAGCTCCTCCTATTCCGGTGCTGACCAATGAACGAACATCTTTTGCATTCGCACACGCCCACAATCTCAGTTCACCGTCCCCTCCTTACCGACTCTCCCAATCGGAGAAAAGGACTGCAGTTTTTCATGAAAAAAAACGTAAAAACTGGATTATTTATCGGACATTGACAATGAAAAACGCTTTCTCCCGTTATTCATGCTGACTCTTCTGTAAATCCGGCCCAGATTTCACGTGAGTGCACTAGTTTCTTACCGTCGCCTCTAGACTCGTTTTGTCATTGCGGTGAATGCGTCGATACATATGTTGAATAATTCATTGACATTTGTACAGGAGACAGACATCTCCTTGGCTTGACGGCTGAAATCAGCCCCTGTTCTTTGTAAACGTTACCCACGGGATTTTACAGTGTTCCAAATGTCCACCATCTCCGAGGATGTGAGGAAGTCTTAAAATATCTGCAGGATGTAGATTCCCCTGTATGTCATGGGGCTGTGCTTTAGGTCAGCGAGTTTGACACAGTATCTGTGATCGTCTTCATGTTCCATTGTTTCACTCTGCATGCTGAATGAATGTCATGCCATCACATATTATATGCACTTTTTTTTTTTTATAGCTGTTAGTGTTCTTAGGCTGTGACCACTCCTACATAGATATCTTTTGTCTCTAGAAGTACATCTTTGTAAAGTTCATGTAAGGCCTGCTGATGAATCATCAAAATTAGGTGCTTTATCTGACTTGTGTGATGCATATTGTTAATGACACTGCTTGTCTGTAGTAGAGATCGACTATTTTTTCGAATTATTTTTTGATACTGATTATTTTAGCTTTAAGTGCCCCGTAACCGATTCTTGTTTTTAATTATGATCTATTTCTGATTTTTGACACAGTAAAAACCAAATAATCACTTGACAACAGCAAACACACATTATGCATTTTATTTAAATGATAATAAGGAGAACATTCTCGTCACACTCAGTTATAACAATGTTAAATGTGTCCAATATATATATATATATATATAGTATGTATATATGTGTGTGTGTGTATACACTGTAATCTATCTATACGGATATATAGAAGTCAAGATTATCAACCTCTTTCTAGTATTTAGTACAGTTTACTACAGATGCTATTGAGAAATAAGGTGTAAACACAGTCGGTTATGTTTTAAATGAATGTAAACAGCTGAGAAAGAAATCGGATGTGTATCATTATACTGGATCCGTGCAGTCGGTTTTAAAGGGACAGCAGCCTATAAATACGTGCTGCTGAATGTCAGTAATGTTAATCAAACATCAGGCAAGTGTGGCAATGAATGGGGTTGCCACAGTAATGATACAGTAAGTCCATTCAGTTCCCAAGGAGCTACTAGTTTAATGTTAAACCACATGAAGAGAATAACCCCTTTTCCATTACGCTTGGAATCTGCTCAAATAAAGTAGCGACAGTAGTCTTAAGAAAGTTCCACTGGCCCGTCTGCTCAATATAGCAGCTGTTGCCTGCTTTGGCACAGAAAATGCTCAGCTGTTCTTTTCACAGTGTCTTCATCTGTTTGAGAAGAAGGATGAAAGTGTAGTCTTTACATCAGCAGTTCCACATTTCCCCCAGCTACAGATTATGCATTATCTAACTGCATTATCACTGACATGTAGAAATGTTTTGCTGCAGTGGTGTGAGAATCTGCTTTAGCTCTGAGTAGGATGTTAATGCATATTCAGTGACCTTTTGTTGTTTGCTTTATAAATGCTGCTCAATTCTGAGCCTAACTGGTTGGATAGTGAGATGCTGCGCTATAAAGTAGACTTATACCCCATATGTGATGAAGATAACATGTTACTGGTGTAGAACGTGATGATGGTGCATTTTATTCAACAAGGCGAATAGCTGTGGAGAAGTCAATATTCAGCTTGTCATGTCATGTTTAGTTTCTGTACAGGGTTTGGTGAAGGTTTGTGCTGGACAGATGCTGTAGCTTGATGTTAAGCAAAGCAGACAGACTGACAGCAGCCTGTTCCAGGTGAATTGATGTGCGGGAATCACGTCTTCGTGTGAGTGACAGTTTACTCTGCAGTCCTGCCATTGAGTTGACAGGGGGCTGGGCGGCGCCTGGTGGTCTGGAATATTTTGACCTTGCAGAAATGTGCAGTTTGTGTATTTCTGTGTGTGTGTGTGTGTGTGTGTGTGCAGAAGAATTTAACTTGTTACACACAAGTGCACTCATGCATCACAATGAATCCAATCATGCTGACTAGATTTGTCTAGGTAGTGTGAGATTGATTTTATTGGATGTCTTGGATCTCTCTTCTTTCTTTCTCTCCCTCTTAACCTGTGCAGTCAAAGTAATGAAACATTTAAATATTATTAAATAATAATTAAAGTACTTTCCAGATTGATTAGTATTGTTTTTACAACTGACTATTTTTTCATTACTGTTTAATTTCTGAGAGCATAAGAACTAAATAATCATTGGACTACAAAAATAAAAACCACTTAACCACAAATTAGAACATGCAATATATTATGCATATATATTTTTGTTGTGTACTGTTAAGCTTCAAATGCATTGTTTCTCACTTGAGTATAAATGTAAGTGTAAATGTAAAATACATAATTTAATAAAATACTGCATTATTTTATTTGCGAAGACTGTTGTTGTTGTTGTTTTAAAAGAAGAAATTACCAATTTATTTGAAAAGTGTAAATATCAGTAAACATAAAAATAAAAAAATTACAGTTGCCACATTTAATGCAGTATCCTATTATGCCCGATTTAGTTGAAAAGTGTAAATATCAGTAATAATTTATTAATTAAAATTATATCCTATTTTAATGTATCATGCAATATGACCATTCAAAATTCATACCATGTTTTTATAGGATATTTTTATAAATTATATAAAAATAATTATATTTATACTTATAAATAAATTAATATTTTTAAACAAACAAATACATTTAGACTATTCAAAATTCAGATCATTATTTTAATACTACTATAATACTACAGGTTGACATATCTTGACATGGCATGTTTTCCTCCATCTGCTTTCATGCACAGAGCTGTTTCGTTATGCTATTGTAGGTTAGTGCAGATGTCCAGATGACCACACCACATTGCTGGTGGACAGTAACACAAGTTTATATA